AAAAAGAATCGAAGGATGCGCGAAGGATTGCGGTGGTCGATGAAATACACGTGGCATTAAAATGTAAAATCCGAGAGCAACATAGATAAGAATCGCCGCTTCGAAGCGCAACCGGAAGATTACACGAGAAACGTGTACCGTTGTTGTCTGTGCGAATGCAATATGTGTAATTCGACTAGAGGAAAGTGAGAGATTTACCACTCTTCCCAATCTTATCCTTACTATTTCACCTACTCTTAGTCTGTGGCGAAATGGTTCACATGCATGTTTATTCGAAAGCCAACGAGAAGTGAACGTGTGTTACAAGATGGCACTATTTTTAACGAAAGATAAAAAATTAATACATTTTTTCATAGATGTAGTAAAAAAAAAAAAAGTTAATGAATTAACAAACAAAAATTTCGTGTATCCTGCTTGTACCTTTCAGATTCTAAGAATACGAATCAACATCTGGGGATATATATACATATATACACACATATATACTTATAATTATAGATGTACGTGTAAAAATAAATGATACTATACACAAATATTTTTTTTGTGTCGAAAGTGAAGATGTACAGCCTCATAGACAGTATTTTGGGTTTTATAGATTGAAAAGTATTATAGAAAATTTGTTTATCCTTTTAAGCATGTCTCATGCATATTGAAGAGATAAACTTAGTTTTTTAGTAGGAAAAATTTTACAAATGACAATTAATATTAAACAAATACGAACAGCATAATAATTTTAGTTATATTTTAATTGTAATATAAACAGCAAGTCGACTAAAAAATACTGAGAGCTTCTTTCGATTGTTACCGCGTTGACGCGATTACATTTGATACAAAACTCTTTGTACGTAAGAATTGTTAATAAGGAGAAAAATTGAAGTAAAGACTCTTGTTAATATGGAAACTTAGATTTTCAGATCGTAATGAGAAAAAAAAAATATTTAGAAAAATATTCCCAACGTGAATTAGGAAGTTAAATCAAGAATATGCGAAGGCTGGAAAAATGCATAAAAAGAAAAAAATTAATCAATAAAAAACAATTGCAAAATACTTAGGCTTTTAATATCACTCCTCGACGTTTTTTAAAAGTAAAAGAAAAAAAAAATCGTTCTCGTGAGCGGAGACAATTTTATCATATAACTTTTTAAATCTATAACGTGTTCATTCGAAATTGAATATTCCTACACTTAATTACAAGTCAAAACAACAAATGCTTGAAAACATTTAAAAAAGTAGATAAAAATAAAAATTTAACGGCATGTGTAGTTATATAACGACGTTTTTGTGTGTAACAACATCTTGAACATAACTTTCAAGCTTTACTCCGCTTGTGGATCACAACCGGTAACTTTTAAGTGAATAAAATTATCAGTTAGCGATTTTTGAAAATAAAATCTACATCCATCAAGAAATAAAAATTTTAAAAAATGGTGAAAAGACTTGGGAGGATACTGCAAGAAGGAAAAAAAAAATCGTTTCAAGTGGGTTTTGTATTGAAAAACCCATTAAAGTTGATAAAAAAAAAATAATTAAAAAAAGTAAGTAGTTCTTTTGTAGAGTTTTCGATCGTTAGTTTCGTAAGAATGTTTTGAATTCTTAAAGTTTTGTACAATTTATCGTTAGCTATTAAACTTTTTGCATAATATATACATACATATGAATATAAATAACGAGACTTTTTATTGTCGATGATGAGAAGGGAGTTTCAAAGGTTTCGAATAAGCGCTGCGTAATTTTTTCACATTTTTTCATA